TGGAAGGCCAGCCCTTGGGTGAGTGGGAAGACGGCCCTAGGGTGAGTGGAAGGCCAGCCCTTGGGTGAGGGAAGGCCAGCCCTAGGGATGAGGGAGGACGGCCCTAGGGGTGAGGGGAGGCCAGCACTAGGGTGAGTGGGAGGCCAGCCCTAGGGTGAGTGAAAGGCCCTAGGATGAGTGGGAGACCGGCCTGAGGGTGATTGGAGTGGCCGGCCCCAGGGTGAGTGGGAGGCCGTTCTTAGGGTGATAGGAGCACGGACCTAGAATGGACGTTCAACAGTGCACTGCTGTTCGAAAATAGTGCAGGTTGTTCGGACAGGTGTGTTGGCCCTGGTGCCTTAATATCTAGTGTCCAAATGTTGTTTTGGGATCGGTAACGATGTCCGGAATTCGTGTCCTCTGTGTGTGTGTGTGTGTGTGTGTGTGTGTGTGTGTGTGTGTGTGTGTGTGTGAAGCAATAAGACGAGGCAGGAGGAGTAAGAAGCCTTATTTCAGAGACACGAGGTCACTGGCGGACTGTAAACACAACGTAGGTATGTGACTTTGGTCGGTTGGTCGTGGCTGTGGTCGTGGCCATGGCTGTGGTCATGGTCGTAATCGTAGTTGAAGTCGTAGCCTGTTATCACTGTTATGATCGTGATCAGAGTTATCGTCGTTGCCTGCTATCGTAGCCATGGTCGTAGTCGTGATCATGGCTGTCGTCGTGGTCGTGGCCGCAATCGTAGTTAAGGTCGTAGCTTATTATCGTAGTCGTGGTCATATTTGGAAGTCGTTGCCATGGTTAGTTATATGTGAAATAACTTGACCAATCAGAATAGAAAGCTCAATAAGGAACATTGTCTCCTTTACTCAAGTCAGATCCGAAACATATATTCAGAATTGATTAAATCACTTTACGAAAACCCAATTAAAATTCTAACCTGTATTCGAGAGAGGAGAGGTACAACGTCTTTGCGCGCGGTGTTGCATCAAACAGAGGAGGGAAGTAAGAGTGGGTGTGTCTTACCCCGAGGCCAGGTAGACAGGTGGGTACGGAGGAACAGGTGATGTTACGTAAAGGAGGCCCTTAGTACGTGGGCCAGGGTTACTCTCTCCTCCGCCCCCGCCACACTGCGTACTTCCCTCGTATGTGTGTGCTTGTTGTTAACTTTGGTTGTGTGTGTTTGTTGTGTGGTTTGAGAGTTTGTGCGTCTTTGCTGCTGTAATCTGTGTGTGTGTGTGCTTCTGTTAGCCGTTACTACAAATGTTACAGAATAGTACATGTGTTGCAGAGAGTTACAGCAGATATGGTTCAGAGTAATGTACATCATATGTGAGGGAACGTGAACTCGGCAGTGGATCAGGTGTGGTGACACGTGTGAGTCAGTACCTGTGTGCAGGTGTTGGGTATGAGGAGGTATTCCGTCTCTCCACAGATGTGCGCGACCATATACAACACACTCGCACATATACAGCAACACATGTATACCCAAGTTTATTCTACACAGGTGTACATAGCTGTATTCCCACACATGTAGAAACACACACACACACACACACACACACACACACACACACACACAAAAAAACGTACTTTTTCATGCGTAGACACATTTGCACAAATATATTCACACACACATACGCACAATTCCACAGATGTTACTCTCACTTTACCTCCTCACATGTACGCACAATTATACGCCCATACACATACTCTTAATTTTACACCCAGACTGATACACACACAGACACACACACACATACAGCAACTAGAGTAGCATCACTGGTCTAAATTTTTAATCTAAATTCATAGCTTTTCAAGATTAAACACCTGACAGGTGAGTGAACCGTGTGGCGTTAACAGTTACTCGGGACAAGACTCAGGTGTGATTGTTGTAATACCTACTGTTGTCCTCTGTTGCTTGACTGAGGTGGGAGATTAATTAAGTTTACCTGACGTTTACCTGGAATACGATAGTTGGGTGGAGCGCAGGTAGGCAGGGCGTAGGTCTGGCAGGAGGGCGGGGCCGGGAGGTAGGGAGAGAGGGATGGGGTCATGTCAGGGGAGGATGATGTGAGAGGAGGAAAGGGTCGTGCGAGAGAAGTGAGGAGGAGGGGAGGAGAGGAGGAGAGATGAAAGAATTGGATCGTGGAAGAGGAGAAGTGAGGGGGAATGGGTCGTGGGAAAAAAAAGAGAGGTAGAGGAGTGGGGTTGAGTAAGAGGGGAGTAGAGGTGAGAGGGACAGGGTCGTTTGAGCTAAAGAGTCGTAAGGGAACCATTTGAAGAAGGGAGGTGAGGTGATAGAGGAATGATATGAAGGGAAAATGGAAATGGAAAGGAATCATGTAAGTGGGGAAAAGAGACGATGGGAGGAATGTATCATTAGGGGAAGGTAGGGCTAGACGTCACAAGGAAAGACAGACACTTCAACAGGGAATATTAAACACTTCTCTTACCAAATAAAACAAAATCCGGAACTGAAAGTCTATGAAAAAAAAAAAGAAACCATTCTTAATCTACCTAACCATAACTCACATTTACCCAATTTAATACATTATCTTCACGTCTATGTATTAATTGTATATCTTCATTCGTATTATACTTTGTTTTGAGGATATCCATGTTGTATACTTAACCAACTGTCGTAGAGAAGAATTGTATTTTATCTCTCCAAGACTCTCACTTCAACCACTACCTTCAGATGTCTTGCACAGTTGCCTCTAGCCTCTTAAATAGTGTCTAGTGTTTGGTGGTGTGTGTGTGTGTGTGTGTGTGTGTGTGTGTGTGTGTGTGTGTGTGTGTGTGTGTGTGTGTGTGTGTGTGTGTGTGTGTGTGTGTGTGTGTGTGTGTGTGTGTGTGTGTGTGTGTGTGTGTGTGTGTGTGTGTGTGTGTGTGTGTGTGTGTGTGTGTGTGTGTGTGTGTGTGTGTGTGTGTGTGTGTGTGTGTGTGTGTGTGTGTGTGTGTTCTGTTTTTGTTTTTTCTTGAGTGAGGTTCAACTTGCATCTTATTCTCTACACGACCCACAGCTGCCTTAAGACGTCCCACTCCAAGATGGTGCCAGTCCCCCCTCCTCCCTCACCCCTCACCCTTGCACCACCCCGGCCCTCTCCCCATCGGGCCTTCACCATCATCCTCTCACCAGGGCCACACCAGTCCCCAGGTCTCACCAGTCCCAGGTCCCTCACCAGTCCCCAGGTCTCACCAGCCCCAGGTCCTCACCAGTCCCCAGGTCTCACCAGTCCCCAGGTTCACCACCTCACCAACACCACCACTTCCCCAACACACCTTAGTCTTCTGTCCTTCTGGCACCTGCTTAGAATTTATCCACCTCCTCCTCCTCCTCCTCCTCCCTCCTCCCTCCCTGGCCCACCTCTTCCTCTCTTACCTATATTTATAAAGTCTCTGATTTCCGTATTTGTATATTTATTTATATATTATTATTATTATTATTATTATTATTATTATTATTATTATTATTAGTTATTATTATTATTATTATTATTATTATTATTATTATTATTATTATTATTATTATTATTATTATTATTATTATTATTATTATTATTATTATTATACAAACTCACCAGATATATACATAAAGGAACAAACCATAATAACATAATCCTACTGAGCCTGCAACACTCATCCCTCGGTGGTCGAATCCAATTAGCCTTGAGGTTGAAACGCCACATACCTATTTAACACCTGGAGGGCCGAGCTGGGCGTGTGTGGCCGAGTCTCTATTAACTCACCGCCCTCACTCAGGCTCTACCCCACGACCTAGGCCACCACCCCACACCTGGAGGGCCGAGCTGGGCGTGTGTGGCCGAGTCTCTATTAACTCACCGCCCTCACTCAGGCTCTACCCCACGACCTAGGCCACCACCCCACACCTGGAGGGCCGAGCTGGGCGTGTGTGGCCGAGTCTCTATTAACTCACCGCCCTCACTCAGGCTCTACCCCACGACCTAGGCCACCACCCCACACCTGGAGGGCCGACCTAGGCCACCACCCCACACCTGGAGGGCCGACCTAGGCCACCACCCCACACCTGCTAAAATAAGAATACGAAAAATAAACAAAGGCTGTGTGTTTGTTTATTTAATTGTTTTGTAGTGAACTTGTAGAATAAACAAATGGGTGGAATTCTGACTTGATCCTGAGCTTGTTCGGGCAAGAAATGTATTTATGTATGTATGTATGTATGTATGTATGTATGTATGTATGTATGTATGTATGTATGTATGTATGTATGTATGTACAGTATCATCTCACACTTTAACAAGTGCAAAAATATTTGTGATGTTTCCATTTTTTACACACACTCTCTCTCTCTCTCCATCGTATCTCCCCTGGGGTAGAGCTAGGTCATTTGTCCATCCCCTGGGGTAGAGCTAGGTCATTTGTACCTCCCCTGGGGTGGAGCTAGGTAACTTGTACCTCCCCTTGGGTAAAGTTAGGTCATTTGTACCTCCCCTGAGGTAGAGCTAGGGCATTTGTCCCTCCCCTGGGGTAGAGCTGGGTCACTTGTTCCTCCCCTGGGGTAGAGCTAGGTCACTTGTTCCTCCCCTGGGGTAGAGCTAGGTCATTTGTATCTCCCCTGGGGTAGAGCTAGGTCACTTGTACCTCCCCTGAGGTAGAGCTAGGTCACTTGTTCCTCCCCTGAGGTAGAGCTAGGTCACTTGTACCTCCCCTGAGGTAGAGCTAGGTCACTTGTGCCTCCCCTGGGGTGAACTAACTAACTCCTGGCTGCGGCCCGCCCAGGAGGGAAGCAATTCGTGACGCCTTTTGCATATGTATGTATGTATGTATGTATGTATGTATGTATGTATGTATGTATGTATGTTTATGTAAGTATATCTGTTTGTGTGTATGTACAGTATGTATGTAGCCCAATTTTTCAATTGTAATTTAGTGAGAGATTTGAGTCTGCCATTAGCAGTCGTGAGTCTGCCGTGGCCAGGACCCCCACACGTGTTACAGCCCATCATCACCATAGATTACACTGAGACTGGCTTACGGTCATCACACTAAGCCGGATGTTTGTGTTGATCATCACACTAAGCCGGATGTTTGTGTTGATCATCACACTAAGCCGGATGTTTGTGTTGATCATCACACTAAGCCGGATGTTTGTGTTGATCATCACACTAAGCCGGATGTTTGTGTTGATCATCACACTAAGCCGGATGTTTGTGTTGATCATCATTCAACTCAGATCATTTTGTCATACTATCTGTCGTGACCTCTATCCTCTCATGTCTGGCTGTGCCTTGGGCCCCAGCATGCAGCCCATCCTTTCCCACCTTAACTAAAAGAAAAAAAAACAGTGGTGGTGGTGGTGACAGGAGATTGGTGGTGATGGTGAGGGAGTGGTGATGATAGTAGTGGTGGTGACAGTGGTGGTGGTGGTGGTGATGTAGTGACAGTGGTGTAGTGGTGATGGTGACAGTGGTGGTTGGTGATGGTGACAGTGGTGGTGGTGGTGGTAGTGGTGGTGGTGACAGTGGTGATGGTGGTGGTGGTAGTGGTGGTGGTGATGGTGACAGTGGTGATGGTGGTGGTGGTAGTGGTGGTGGTGATGGAGGGGCCGAGCATAATAAGACTGGTTTAAAGTGTAGTGAAGTAAGTCCCTGGTTATAGCTGAAGGAGTAAAGTTTAGGCCGACATGAAAGTTAGTTAGTTTAATGGATCTCTTAATGGTGTAGCGGCAAGAACTTCAAGCACAAACTGATGTGTGTGTGTGTGTGTGTGTGTGTGTGTGTCACTCCCCGCCAGGTGTAGTGTACACGTGTGAGAGGCGTGTATACAAGAGCGGATGTTTACACACAGGACACACACATGTGCTCCGTCGACCGTCTGTCGGTACTGACGTCACGCCAAATTAGGAAGTACAGGTGTATAAACATCACCTCCCGCCACCTCACCTGCTCCCAAATTTACCACCCTTTATAAATTACGAATAAACCGGAGAATAATGAGTCCTTAATGAGGAGGAGTGTCGGTGGTGTGTGATTGGTGTGTTGCCCTGACCAGCTTAGCCAATAGGAAGAGAGTCAGTGATGAACGACTTGGCGAACAGTTAATATCATGTTTTAGGGGCACTGTGTACCTTGTTCTCGTGTACAGGGTCGTTTAGTCCAGTTCTGATTGTGGGCTGTACAGCGACTGTCTGCATAACGTAGCATGTGTTTTACGCCTTTGGGGGTCGTGAAGCTAGATCCAGATTCTCTTGTATTGTCAGTTTGTTTTTGTCTGAATGCTTGTTATATGTGATGGTATTCTTAGTCTCTCTCTAACCCTCACCTGCCTGACCTCCCCTAACCCCTCTGCTACCCAGCCCTCATCTCCCCGGTCACCCCTCACCCCTCTACTACCCACCCCTCACTCACTCCTGCCCCACCCCTCTACTACCCAGCCCTCACCCACTCCTGCAGCCCTCACCCACTCCTGCCTTCCTCACCTCCTGCCCCACCCTCCCAGCCCTCACCCCTCCCTGCCCAGCCCTCCCCCTCCTGCCCCCACCCTCTACTGCCCAGCCCTCACCCCACTCCTGTCACCCCTGCCTACCCAGCCTCACCCCACTCCTGCCCCAGCCCTCCCTCCTGCTCCCACCCCTCCTACCCAGCCCTCACCCCTCCTGCCCCACCCCTCCTACTACCCAGCCTCACACTCCCTGCCCCAGCCCTCACCCCTCCTGCCCCACCCCTCTGCCTGCCAGCCCTCACCCACTCCTGCCCCCACCTCTACTACCCAGCCCTCACTCCTTCCTACCCCACCATTTACCTGGGCACAAGGGAGGGAGGGAGGTCTGGTAACTACAGTGACGTGTCAGTAAACATAGGTGTGACCCTTTAACCTCCACTCTGCTTATTTCTTTGCTGTGTCGACCACCACAAACCGGGGGGTGGAGGGGGGGGGGCAGCACCAGGGTGAAGACCAGCCAGGTGAGGGCAGGTGAGGACAGACGAGACCCGGGAGGTGAGGGTGAGCGTGTGAGAAGAAGTAAACAACCTGTGGGCGGCGTTAAACATACGCCCGCCATCGCCGTCGTTGTTTACGTTACCTTACTACAGGGGATCACCTGAGGTTTACGCACCCAGCTTATTTTACCTGATGATTAAACCTAACCTGACCTGACCTAACCTAACCTCTCCTCTAGATGACATTAGGAAGTTTGATGATCAGGTGATATAAGTTGGGGTGCTTAATCTTCAGGTGATCCCTACGCGGTTCATGTACCCCTTCGGATGTTATTGACTCGTACCTTCACCTGGGGCATGAGGGCACCCCCCCCCCCCAACAACTCGGGTATAGTAGAGAGCGGAAGTAAACACAGGAAGTGGAGGGAGGCGCCAGGCTCAGGTTATTCTGGGGTGTTGTTAATTTTCATTGTCTAAAATAAAGTTGTGATGAAGGCGGCGGAGGAGATAAAGATGGTCGGTCACCTCAAGATTGACCGCCTTACACTAAACTAACCTCAACTCACCTAATCTAATCTAACCTAATCTAAATTAACCTATCACTAACATAACATAACATAACGTAACGTAACCCTCCAAGTAGCGATACAGTGGGGAAATAAGAATGGGGGGCAGCTAAAGGAATCCATATTAAAGCCAGTTAACATCTACCTCTGTTTTATTTGAATATATTATAATGACATGAATAAGATAAAATTAGGTAAAAATAACTAAAAAAAAACAAAACAATAAAAATATAAGAATTTTTAAGTGTGATTTATTTATATTTTATTACTATCATATTTTTTATTATTATTATTCATTTTATTTTGTGTTGAAGATAAACCCAAGACTTTTACTTCAATATTATTCTTAATGTCCTTTTATATAACAGAGAAATAATGACAACTAAGAGAATACAATAGAATGGATGAGTCACCGTCACTCACCCACTAAGAATCATCCGGTGAAAACGTCTCGGGAAATGCTGAGGAGACACCAACACTCTCTCTCTCTCTCTCTCTCGCTCTCTCTCTCTCTCTCTCTCTCTCTCTCTCTCTAATAACAGTACAAAACTATCTCTGTATACTGTTGAATATATACACCACAAGGGCCAGGAGGGTGTATATATAGCACTGTATTTATCGTGTCTGTGTGAATATTTCGTCGGTCTGTTACACAATTTCTTGTTATTTTCTGTCATTTCCCTCACAGCATCCGGGAGGTCTGGGTGATGACGTCATGCGGTGGAGCTATTATTTACACCGGGGAAAATAATGGATGATGGTGGCGGTAGTGGTGGTGGTGTTGTTGTTGGTGATAATGTTGGTGGTAGTGGTATTAATGGTGGTGTTGGTGATGATGATGATGATGGTGGTGATGCTGGTGATTATGTTTTTGGTGGTGATGGTGTTCGTGGTGGTGGTTGTGGTGGTGATGGTGATGGTGATGACACAAACACCTTTAAGCATTAGGTTACACGTGTTTGTGTACCTCGGGAAACTTGTCTATATTGAAGCTTAACTTATATTGATCGTTTAAGTTATGAAAATCAGGAGGCGAAACAAGTGAAGGTCATCCATCGTGTGAATGTTGGTGTTGCAGATGGGTGAAGGTCATCCATCGTCTGAATGTTGGTGTTACAGATGGGTGAAGGTCATCCATCGTCTGATTGTTGGTTTTACAGATGGGTGAAGGTCATCCATCGTGTGAATGTTGGTATGACAGATGGATAAACGTCATCCATCGTCTGAACGTTGATGGCTGCCACTGTCGTCCACCTGGAAAATTGACGTCAATACACTGCCATTATTTACAACTGGTGAACAAAAACGCTACATCATTATGACATTAAATAAAACACAAGTAACTATCACGTAATGTGTCGTATTTTTCTGTGACTTGTTTTCATGTTACTTTCAGTTTTCCTCCATTACACTTTTATGTCAAGACTGGCAGCGTTGTGTGCATTGATTTCATGGTCACTCGGGCGCTGGGAGGTAATTTACATGATAGGATGGTTGGGAGGAGTGTGTAGTGTGGGGGGTACCTGTGGTGGAGGGTTGGGGTGGCTCTGAATGCCTGTGGTGGAGTGTGGGGGTGACTCTGTATGCCTGTGGTGGAGAGAGTGGAGGGTAGCTGTGTGTGCCTGTGGTGGAGGGTGGGAGGACAGGTAACCCCTGGTGGAGGGTGGGGGGGGGTTTATGTGCCTGTAGTGGGAGGGGTGGATGGCTTTTGTAGAGGAAGAAGGGGGTGAAAGAAGATTAGAGGAGGGGGAAGGAAGTTATAGTTCGGAAATTGAAGAAATTTAGGAGGAGGTAAGAGAGGGTGGGCTGACCGCCTAGCTAAGCTAATGGTGTGTTAGGGTTGTGTCATGGGTTAGATATTGTCTGTCGGTACAGGCACTAGACATCCTACCCTATCCCATATATGGGTGTTTTGAGGGTCATATTTCATATTCCGCCGACCCTACTGGCGGATGCTGGTCTAGGGAGGTTGTCTATTGCCTGGTTATATAGATCGGGGGTGGTAATGGACCTTTTGAAATTTGGTAACTTTTTGGGAACCATGTATGGTTGTTGTCGTTATCTGGTGGGAGTCTTTGAAGGAGTTCTTGCTCTGATCGTTCTATCTTTTGCTAGACTCTGCTGGCCAGGGTGTGCAGCTGCCGGTTGATGGGTTTTATTCTCGGGTCTCTAACTATCTCGGCTGTGGTTCTGGTGAAGGGGTATCTCTTACCTGGAACGAATCTTAGGGCTTCATTTTGGACCAGGAGGTAAGTGTGGTGGGGAGGGAGGGAGAGTGTGCCTGTGGAGAGTAGGGAGGGAGGGAGGGAGGGTGTGCCAGCAGTGGAGAGGTAGTGTAGGAGCTGGGAGTGCCAATAAGTAATGCTGGTCTTGGGGGAAATTGAGGCATACATTTTACTGGGTGACGATGTGGTGGTGATGGTGGGGTTATGTTAGGTCAGGACGGGGGAAGGATAACATAGGTTAGTGGGTCAGGAGGATGTGTCGAGGACGATGATTGGTCAGGAGGATGTGTCGAGGACGAGGATTAGTCAGGTGGACGTGTCGAGGATTGGTCAGGACGATGATTGGTCAGGAGGATGTGTCTAGGATGAGGATTGGTCAGGAGGATGTGTCGAGGACGATGATTGGTCAGGAGGATGTGTCTAGGACGAGGATTGGTCAGGAAGATGTGTCGAGGACGATGATTGGTCAGGAGGATATATCAAGGAACAGAT